AGCATTGAAACATGTATATTATCAAGGGTGAAACAGATCACAAGCCCAGGTTGGATGCATGAGACAAGTGCTCAGGGCTGGTGCACTGGGAAGACCCAGAGGGATGGGATGGAGAGCGAGGTGGGAGGGGGGATCAGGATGGGGAACACATGTAAATCCATGGCTGATTCATGTCAATGTATGGCAAAAACCACTACAACATTGTAAAGTAATTAGCCTCCAACTAATAAAAATAAATGAAAAAAATTACAAAAAAATTCATGGCTGCAGTCACCATCAGCAGTGATTGTCACTGTTTCCAGTGTTTCCTATCTATTTGCCATGAAGTGATGGGACCAGATGCCGTGATCTTCGTTTTTTGAATGTTGAGTTTTAAGCCAGCTTTTTCACTCTTTTCTTTCACTTTCATCAAGAGACTCTTTAGTTCCTCTTTGCTTTCTGCCATAAGGGTGGTGTCACCTGCATATCTGAGGTTTTTGGTATTATTCCCTGATATCTTGGCTCCAACTTGCTCTTCACCCAGCCTGGTGTTTCGCATGATGTACTCTGTGTATAAGTTAAATAAGCAAGGTGACACTATACAGATTTGATGTACTGCTTTCCCAATTTGGAGCCAGTCCATTGTTTTATGTCCAGTTTTAACTGTTGCTTTGTGTGTGTGTGTGAATGGAAGTCAAGTGTATTTGAACAAAAGCTCCAACAAGCAAATTTGTCTCAGCAGAAAGCAGAGATCTGTGCTGACTTCAGTACAGACACTGATACAGTATAGCTAGTATTGGCTACTTTGCACCTAGTAGCAGATCACCCTTTCCATGGCTTAGCACATTTACAGAAAACTGTTCACCGTGGAAGGACTTCACAGATGACCTCTGAGTGTGTGGCTCGGTCACTGACATCCCCAGCACTACTTCCATAGTCCCAGCTGGCACCGCTGTCAGCCAGACTCCACTGCCTAGAGAATGGCTCCAGCATCATCGCATCCCAGGGGCACCTGGCTTCTCCATCATTGCCATGCTCATGGTCGCTCCTCCCTGCAGTAGGAGGAGCTCAGCCTCAGGGCCCACTCTTCTCAACCAAAACCCTGGGAGCTGTGGCTTCCCAACACAAGCATTACCTCAACGTGCCATTTTCTAAACACAGAGATTCCTCTAGATAAGCCTATAAGCTAAGAGTAATCAAGGAGAAATATGCCTAAAGCTTGATCTGGTTAGTGTATATGAAATAAAGCACACTTTATAAATCGAGTCCTTACAAAGGAAAGACTTAGATCCTGGCCAAGTCAGAGTAAACCTACCTGGAGAGTGTGTCCCGTTTCTGCAGAGGTGGGCAGAGTACTTGGGACATGAAGCCTGTACGTGCTCTTGGTGCAAGCCTGGGAAACTGGAAGGACCCAGCCACTGCTGGCAGGTGCAGCAGCAGAAACTTGTTTTTCAACACCAGCCTGGCCCTTCTGCCCTGACCTCACAGTGCAGCTTCCTTCCTCACTGAGGAAGGAAGAAAAAGCAAGCTGCACTGTGAGCATTTATTCCCTCTCCCTGGTCTCAGGCCCAGGATTGCAAGGGAGGCAGGAGTTTGAGTTTAACTTATAAAACTAACCTTTCCCTTTTGCCCCCTTGTTTTTTGTTGTTGTTGTTGTTGTTGTTGTTGTTGTTGTTGTTGTTGTTGTTGTTTTGCTTTTTTGTTTGTTTTTTCCGAAGAATCAGGAGTGTTTTCTCAGTTGCTCTTTCAAGGCCTTCTTGCTTTCTTGTTACAGGATACATAAAGCCTAGAATATAGAGGAGTTCAAGTCAACATTTGCCACTAATCTGTAAAAGGTCCTGGGGTAAGGCACAGACGCCAGCAGGTGAGCTACAAAGTGTCCATGCAGGACGATGAGAAAAGGCTTGCCAGTTGTTGTTTTACAAGCTCTTTGCAACCATTCCACTGCGTAATACCAACCTGTGCCTGCTTCAGCAGGTCAGGTATAGGAATACAGCTCTCTGGCATGAATCTCTCCGGCTTGAAGGTGGTGATGACCAAGGCCAGCATGGAACCCTTGAGCTGCAACAGCTGATGGCCCACCACACACAGCTGCAGCTGGCTAGTCAGAGATTCTACATAGAGGGGAGGATCCCTTTGAGGCCTCAGCTCCTTCATGTGGGGCCAGTGCAGGACCACTGGGGTGTGCAATATGGACAGAAAGTCCAGCGGCATCCTGATGTGAAGGTCCCCATGCAGTTTGTCTGAAACAGCCAGCTCCATCCTGAGAAGCTCATTCAGGGACCAGCCAGAGCCATTGTGCTTTATGAAGTCTTTTATGTGTGGAATCAACTCCTTTCTTCATTAACTTCTGTGGCAAGTCTCAAGGAAGAAATTGTGACAATGGAGTAAATGCGTGTTTATCTTTACTGAAACCACAAGGAGGCTGAAGACAGTGAGAGCCCAGTGAAAAGTGATACACCCACCACATTAACAGATTGAAAGATAAAAGCTATATGATTATCTCAATAGATGCAGAAAAAGCCTTTGACAAAATTCAACATCCATTTGTGATTAAAAGAAAAAAAAAACCCTTCTGAAAGCAGGCATGGAAGGAACATACCTCAACATAGTAAAAGCCATATATGATAAACCCATACCGAACATTATCCTCAATGGTGAAAAACTGAAAGCGTTTCCCCTAAAGTCAGGAACAAGACAAGGGTGCCCACTCTCACCACTACTATTCAACATAATTTTGGAAGTTTTAGCCACCACAATCAGAGAAGAAAAAGAAATAAAAGGAATCCAGATTGGAAAAGAAGAAAGAAAATTCTTACTGTCTGCAGATGACATGATCCTCTACATAGGGAACCCCAAAGACACTACCAGAAAATTACTAGAGCTAATCAATGAATATAGTAAAGTGGCAGAATATAAAGGTAACACACAGAAATCCCTTGTATTCCTATACACTAACAATGAGAAAACAGAAAGAGAAATTAAGGAAACAATTCCATTCACCATTGCAACGAAAAGAATAAAATATCTAGGAATGAATCTACCTAAGGAAACAAAAGACCTATACATAGAAAACTATAAAACACTGATGAAAGAAATCAAAGATGACACAAATAGATGGAGAAATATACCGTGTTCATGGATCAGAAGAATCAATATAGTGAAAATGAGTACACTACCCAAAGCAATATATACATTCAATGCAATCCCTATCAAACTACCAATGGTATTTTTCACAGAACTAGAACAAATAATTTCACAATTTGTATGGAAATACAAAAAATCTCAAATAGCCAAAGCAATCTTGAGAAAGAAGAATGGAACTGGAGGAATCAACCTGCCTGACTTCAGACTATACCTCAAAGCTAGTCATCAAGACAGTATGGCACTGGCACAAAGACAGAAATGTAGACCAATGGAACAAAATAGAAAGTCCAGAGATAAATCCATGCACCTATGGACACCTTATCTTTGACAGAGGAGGCAAGACATACAATGGAGAAAAGACAATCTCTTTAACAAGTAGTGCTGGGAAAACTGGTCAACCACTTTTAAAAGAATGACACTAGAACACTTTCTAACACCATACACAAAAATAAACTCAAAATGGATTATAGATCTAAACATAAGACCAGAAATTATAAAACTCCTAGAAGAAAACATAGGCAAAACAGTCTCTGACATAAATTACAGCAGGATCCTCTATGACCCACCTCCCAGAGTAATGAAAATAAAAGCAAAAATAAACAAATGGGACTTAATTAAACTTAAAAGCTTTTGCACAACAAAGGAAACTATAAGTAAGGTGAAAAGACAGACTTCAGAATGGTAGAAAATAACAGCAAATGAAGCAACTGACAAAGAATTAATCTCAAAAGTATACAGGCAACTCCTGCAGCTCTATTCCAGAAAAACAAACAACCCAATCAAAGAGTGGGCCAAAGAACTAACCAGACATTTCTCCAAAGAGAACATACAGATGGCTAACAAACACATGAAAAGATGCTCAACATCACTCATTATCAGAGAAATGCAAATCAAAACCACAATGGGGTACCATCTCACGCCAGTCAGAATGGCTGCCATCTAAAAGTCTACAAACAATAAATGCTGGAGAGGGTGTGGAGAAAAGGGAACCCTCTTACACTGTTGGTGGGAATGAACACTAGTACAGCCACTATGGAGAACAGTGTGGAGATTTCTTTAAAAACTGGAAATAGAACTACCATATGACCCAGCAATCCCATTGCTGGGCATACACACTGAGGAAACCAGAACTGAAAGAGACACATGTACCCCAATGTTCATCGCAGCACTGTTTATAACAGCCAGGACGTGGAAGCAACCTAGCTGTCCATCAGCAAATGAATGGATAAGGAAGCTGTGGTACATATGCACAATGGAATATTACTCAGCTATTAAAAAGAAAGCATTTGAACCAGTTCTAATGAGGTGGATGAAACTGGAGCCTATTATACAGAGTGAAGTAAGTCAGAAAGAAAAACACCAATACATTATATTAATGCATATATATGGAATTTAGAAAGATGGTAGTGATGACCCTATATGAGAGACAGCAAAAGAGACACAGATACAAAGAACAGGCTTTTGGACTCTGTGGGAGAAGGCGAGGGTAGGATGATTTGAGAGAATAGCACTGAAACATGTATATTATCATAAGTGAAACAGATCACCAATCCAGGTTCAATGCATGAGGCAGGGTGCTAGGGTTGGTGCACTGGGATGACCCTCACGGATGGGATGGGGAAGGAGGTGGGAGGGGGCTCAGGATCAAGGACACATGTACACCCGTGGCTGATTCATGTCAATGTATGGCAAAAACCACTACAATATTGTAAAATAACTAGCTTCCAATTAAAATAAATAATTTTTTAAAAAATGGTCAGGGAGCAGTCAAAGATGCTCTCAAGGATGCACTCAGTTCTCAGGAGCCACAGCACAACTTCCCCAAGGCAAAACCCTGCCCACTGGAGTCCCCCCCCCCCCCCCCCCCCCCGCAGATGTGCCCTTGCGGGACCTGCTCAGGTCAGCGGCAGCCGGGAAGGTCCCTGGTTTCCTGCACGAGCCGGTGGCAGGCGGGGGTGGGGGCCCCGTAGACGGCGAGAGCGCCCCTCTCATGGAGCTGGTCCGCAGAGGGCAGGGAGCCCTGGGGAGACCTGCCCAGACTGTGTGCACAGACATGTCCCCAGCGGGGTGGACAGTGGCGGGCGTGTGCCCAGACCTCCCTCCGAACTGGCGCCTGGACCAGGTCTCACCGCCAGGCCCAGTTCTGTGGCAGTGCCGCCCTCCGGAGACACGGCTGTGTCAGGTCCTGGCTGACTGGTGTTTCCCGATCTGCACACAGGTTTCTCAGGAGGCAGGTCACCTGGTCTGCTATTCCCATCTCTTGAAGAATTTTCCAGTTTGTCATGATCCACACAGTCAAAGGCTTTGGCATAGTCAATAAAGCAGAAGTAGATGCTTTTCTGGAATTCTTTTGCTTTTTCTATGATCCAGTAGATGTTGTCAATTTGATCTCTGGCTCGTCTGCCTTTTCTAAATCCAGCTTGAACATCTGGAAGTTCACAGTTCACGTATTATTGAAGCCTGGCTTGGAGAATTTTGAACATTACTTTCCTAATGTATAGGATGAGTTCAATTGGGCGGTGGTTTGAACATTCTTTGGCATTGCCTTTCTTTGGGATTGCAATGAAAACAGCTTTTCCAGTCCTGTGGCCACTGCTAAGTTTTCCAAATTTGCTGTTTATTGTTTACTTGTGATCAAAAGGAATTTGACTAAGATATCATCAGTCTCCTGCTCATAGTGCACTTTATTTTCAGATCCAGTACCCAGAAAGAGGTAAGATCTCCTAAATTGTGACTATATATTCCTAAACCATGTTTGCACCCTTGAGCTTCATAATCAGAGGGGGGGAAAAGGTATATGTCCCATTCATTTTCTATCTGAAGAGCTTAACGCAGCTCGTGGCACGCAGTAGGCCCTTAAGAACTTTTTTTTTTAATGAATGGAATGGACTATATTCCCATTAAATTTACAGATACCTCCTAGGAAATAACTCTGTTTCAGATTTTGGAAAGTGAGATCTAAACATAGGCTAACCTCATAATTCAAGGAAAGACAAAGGAAGTCACTGGGCAAAAGTCCTCTCCTGCCACCACGAGAACTGGCTCTACAAACCAACCTGAATCTGCTCCTAACCTCCCTGACCTGCCTCCGGATTTGAAGGAAGATGAATCCTGGCTATTATAAAACTCAAACCTTCCATTTATCCTCTGGGTCCCTCTCTAGCCCTACCTTTTCTGTGAAGTTTTCCACTCTTTAATGAATCTTTAACTTCACCCTCTTTGCATGATCATTCTCATCAGCATGGAAACACTCCCTTATGTCCTAACAAACACACACATGTATTCACACACACAGTAACTTGGCATCATAGCCTTTCCAATTATTGATCCACTGATCAATCCTCTTGATGGAAAACCAATATACAGCTTTCTATCCTCTCTCTCTACTTGCATAAACCATTGCTGGAGAGCTTCCATCACCACTGCTCTTTGAAAGTGCTCATCAAACATATCAGCAACATACATTACCAAATTCAAAGAATGGCATTTTATCTTTTATACTTATTAACTCAGCTTCTTCTTAGTAGCAACTTACTTAGTTAACCAATCTCTTCTTCAGATTCTGTGACAAAATTTCACTGGTATTTTCCCACCATCTCTGGCAACCCTGAGAAATATCCATTACTGATTCATCTCATTTGACACCTAAATTTTGGACTGCATGAGAACCAAGTCCAAGGACTCTTATTAGTCTATGAAGAAAAAGATCTAGTTTGTCTTGTTCAATCCCTACTTACAAAACTGGTCAAGAGGTGCTGGTAAAATGAATATATTAGGGCCACCTCTGCAACACCTCCTCCTTTTATCTGTTGCCTTTGCCATTAGTTCCAGATGAGTATAGATAGGTCTGTATGCACATGCTATATAAGAAAGCATTCCTAAGTGAACAGTGCAAAGAACTAGAGAAAAACAATAGAATGGGAAAGCCTTGAGGTCTCTTCAAGAAAATTAGAGATACCAACAGAATATTTCTTTTTTTTTTTTTTGAGATTTAAATGACACTATTCCTCTTTATTATAATGGCTACATACAAGTTACCTATATTTTCCTTTTTTTTCCTTTTTTAATTTTTTTCATTTATTTTTATTAGTTGGAGGCTAATTACTTTACATCATTGCAGTGGTTTTTGTCATACATTGAAATTAATTAGTCATGGATTTACATGTATTCCCCATCCCGGTCCCCCCTCCCACCTCCCTCTCCACCCGATCCCTCTGGTTCTTCCCAGTGCACCAGGCCCGAGCACTTGTCTCATGCACCCAACCTGGGCTGGTGATCTGTTTCACCCTAGATAATATACATGTTTCGATGCTGTTCTCTTGAAACATCCCACCCTCGCCTTCTCCCAGAGTCCACAAGTCTGTTCAATACATCGGAGTCTCTTTTTCTCCAACAGAATATTTCAAGCAAAGATGGCCACAATAGTACAGAAATGGAATGGACCTAACAGAAGAAGATATCAAGAAAAGATGGCAAGAACACACAAAAGAAGTCTATTAAAAATATCTTAATGACCCAGATAATCATTATGGTGTGATCACTCACTAGAGTCAGACATCCTGGAGTGCAAAATCAAGTGGGCCTTAGGAAATATCTCTACAAACAAAGCTAGTAGAGGTGATGAAATTCCAGCTGAGCTATCCTAAAAGATGATGCTGTAAAGTGCTGCACGCAATATGCTATCAACTTTGGAAAACTCAGCAGTACCCACAAGACTGGAAAAGGTCAGTTTCATTCCAATCCCAATGAAGGCCAATACCCAAGAATAGTCAAACTACCACATAATTGTATTCATTTCACATGCTAGCAAGGTCATGCTCAAAATTCTCCAAGCTAGGCTTCAACATGCTCAAAATTCTCCAAGGTAATTTCCTGTAGAGGTACAAGTCGGCAGTGGACTCCTACAGGGACAGGGCCTCTGGGTGTAGCAGACTTGGGTATGGCAGAAGCCCTCTTGGAGGAGCTCACCATTAACCCCACTATAAAGCTGCCAGAACTTACACAAGACTGGGAAATAGATCCTTGGAGGGCATAAACAGAACCATGTGCACCAGGACCCAGGAGAAAAGAGCAAGGACCCCACAAGAGACTGACCCAGACTTGCCTGTGAGTGTCCAGGAGTCTCCAGCAGAGGTGTGGGTTGGTGATGGCCTGCTGCAGGGCTGGGGGCACTGAATGTATCAGTAAATGCATGGGATCTTTCAAAAGAGGTCACCATTATCTTTATTATCTTCACAACAGTTTGGCCCAAGGTAAATAAAAGGGAGGTAACACAGCCCCACTCATCAACAGAAAATTGGATTAAAGATTTACTGAACATGGTCCATGTTCATCAGAACAAGACCCAGTTCCCCTGTCAGTCAGTCTCTCCCATCAGGAAGCTTCCATAAGCATCTTACCCTTCCACATCAGAGGGCAGACAGATTGAAAACCACAATCACAGAAAACTAACCAATCTAATCACATGGACCACAGCATTGTCTAACTCAATGAAACTATGAGCCATGCCATGTAGGGCCACCCAAGACAGATGGGTCATGGTGGAGAGTTCTAGTAAAATGTGGTCCCATGGAGAAGGGAATGGCAAACCACTTCAGTATTCTTGCCTTCAGAACCCCTTGAACAATATGAAAAGGGAAAAAGATAAGACAATGAATGATGAACTTCCCAGATCAGTAGGTGCCTAACATGCTACTGGAGAAGAGTGGAGAGATAACTCCAGAAAGAATGAAGAGACAGAGCCAAAGAAAAAACCAACACCCAGTTGTGGGTGTCACTGGTGATAGAAGCAAGATCCAATCCTGTAAAGAGCAACATTGCATAGGAACCTGGAATGTTAGGTCCATGAATCAAGGCAAATTGGAAGTGGTCAAACAGGAGATGGCAAAAGTGAATGTCGACATTTTAGGAATCAGTGAAGTAAAATGGACTGGAAAGGTTGAATTTAACTTAGATGACCATTATATCTACTACCCTGGGCAAGAATCCCTTAGAAGAAATGGAGTAGCCATCATAGTCAACAAAAGAGTCCAAAATGCAGTACTTGGATCCAATCTCAAAAACGACAGAATGAACTCTGTTCATTTCCAAGACAAACAACCCAATATCACAGTAATCCAAGTCTATGCCCCGACCAGTAATGCTAAAGAAGCTGAAGTTGAATGGTTCTATGAAGACTGACAAGACCTTCTAGAACTAACACCCAAAACAGATGTCATTTTCATTATAGGGGACTGGAATGCAAAAGTAGGAAGTCAAGAAATATCTGGAGTAACAGGCAAATTTGGCCTTAGAGTAGAGAATGAAGCAGGGCAAAGGCTAACAGAGTTTTGCCAAGAGAATGTACTAGTCATAGCAAACACCCTCTTCCAACAACAGAAGAGAAGACTCTACACATGGATATCACCATATTGTCAATACCATAATCAGATTGATTATATTCTTTGCAGCCAAAGACGGAGAACCGCTATACAGTCAGCAAAAACAAGACCAGAACCTGACTGTGGCTCAGGTCATGAACTCCTTAAGATAAAATTAAGACTTAAATGGAAGAAAGTAGGGAAAACCACTAAACCATTCAGAAATGACCTAAATCAAATCCCTTACTATTATACAGTAGAAGTGAGAAATAGATTTAAGGGACTAGATGTCAGACAGAGTGCCTGATGAACTATGGATAGAGGTTTATGACATTGTACAGGAGACAGGGATCAAGACCATCCCCAAGAAAAAGAAATGGCTGTCTGAGGAGGCCTTACAAATAGCTGTGAAGAGAGGTGAAAAGCAAAGGCGAAAAGGAAAGATATACCTATCTGAATGCAGAGTTCCAAAGAATAGCTAGGACATAGAAGAAAGCCTTCCTCAGCTATCAATGCAAAGAAATAGAGGAAAACAATAGAATGGGAAAGACTAGAGATCTCTTCAAGAAAATTAGAGAAACCAAGGGAACATTTCATGCAAAGATGGGCTCAATAAAGGAGAGAAATGGTATGGACCTCACAGAAGCAGAAGATATTAAGAAGAGGTGGCAAGAATACACAA